GGATTGCCTTTCTTATTTGGGGTCTTGAGAGTGAGTGTTCTATCTTGAGTCGGCTTGGTTGGCTCCGAATGGCATTGTTGAGGGATGTATTGATTCGACCGCTGTTGAGCTTATCAGTGATCTGGGGAGATCTATGAGTTACCCTTCTGTGTTGCGAGATGCTAGGATTTGTTGGTTATAGGCACATATGGTGCGGTTCAATTGGGGTCTCTTAGTGGAATTCGAGCGGGAAGAGTAATTGAGCGATGCTTAGTGAACGGCGTATCGGTTGTGTCCTATCGGGTTGCGTGGCATATGTTATTTGTTGCACCGTGGGTGTAATGATTTGCTTTGGTTCCAGACATCAAGTGGTGCGTGGCTGTCGATTTTTGAGCATAGTGACTTGAGGTGTTTCATGTGTAAATGTGTTTGGATAGGATCGCGCATTGTAGCGAGGCTACGTGGAAATATGACCTTTCGGGGTAGATTCAGGTGTTCTATTTCTATGATGTGAGACGGGGTCTCAGCTTTGTGTTGTGATGGTACTGATGAGCTTGAGATACAGCTCTTGCGTCTGGGGGTCATTTTTATGATTTGAGGATATTCAGACCGTTTTTTATTGGTGCGCGTATTATGTAAGTTGTGGCTTAGGCCTGTATTGATGTGTCATGTCGCCAGAGAGGTGTGTTGGATTCGAGGTGATCGTTGGGGTCATTAATGAATACGAACGGATTTGATTTCAGCTTGTTGGAAGGATAATATCGAGGTTCGGCTCGGAAATCTGCTGTGGTATTAGCCAAAAGGGAAGTGACTTCATGAATGGTTGACCTGAGAGATGGTTACGGTTTTTTGCATGTTTCATTTATCATTAGCAGTATATAGAAGTGTTGGAATAAGACCTTAGTTGATAAGAGGTTTCTACCGGTATTCGAGTGTTGTATGCAGTTGCTATGAATAGAAGTTATCGTTTGGAGTGTTTGAGTTATGTGTTATATCATATAATTGCACCTGAGGTTACAGGTATGGGTTATTACAGCTGGTTCGGGCTTATTCTGAATATAGATGTGAGGTTCTGATCTTGTGTATGATTTCGGAAAGTGCAATGTGGTTCTATGATTTATGGGCTAGGCTGGATTGTGTGATTTCAGTTAAAATGTATTATCGGACCTATAGGAGATAGGGTGATGTGGGATCACCCCCGGGTATATGCATGGTAAAGTTATTCAGTTACTGGTTGGCTTCTAGAACAACTCTGGGTACGTTCGAGGATGAACGTGTGTTTAAGTGGGGAAGGATGTAACGACCCGACCGGTTGTTTTGAGCTTTTGCACTTCGATCGCCAGTTCTTGGGCATGACTTGCCCCGTGTTATGTATTATGACTAATGTAGATCGTTCGTTTTAGTTTTCAGGAAAATTTGGAATGAATTTGAAAGAACAGTTTCAGTTGAAAGCTTGGAATTTGAAAGGTTTGACCAAGAGTTGACTTATTGGTATACGAGCTCGCATCGGAGTTTTTATGATTTGGTTAGCTTCGCTGGGTGATTTATGACTTAGGAGCGTGATCAGAATTGGTTTTGGAAGTCCGGTGTAGAATTAGGCTTGAATTGGCAAAGTTAGTATTTTGGCGAATTCCGGTTGATAGGTGAGATTTTGATCCGAGGGTCAGAATGGAATTCCGAGAGTTGCAGTAGCTTCATTGGGTGATTTGGGATGTGTGTGCAAAATTTCAGGTCATTCGGAGGTGATTTGGTCGGGTTTTTGATCGAATGCGTGTTTCAGAAGTTATTGAAGAACTTAGGCTTGAATTCGATGTAATTTGATGGTTCTGGTGTTGTTCGAGGTGTTTTGATAATTGGAATAAGTTTGGATGATGTTTTGGAATGTGTTGGTGGTTTTTATTGAGGTCCCGGGGGGCCTCGGGGTGATTCCGGATGGCTAACAGAGAGTTTTGGACTTGGGAGATTTTGATTTGGCTGCTGCTTCTGGTATTTCCGCTTCTGCGGAAATGGGACCACAGAAGCGGCATCGCAAGTGCGAACAGAAGACCGCATAAGCGGTTTTGGTTGGTGCAACAGGCTCCGCAGATGCTGTGGTTTTTCCGCAGAAGCGAAACCGCATCTGCGAGCGAAAGACCACAGAAGCGGAAGTTTTGGACATTAGTGGAAGCCGCAGAAGCGGCACGTGGTCCGCAGAAGCGGGACCGCGGAAGCGGAAAAGTTTCCGCAGAAGTGAAATGTGCTGGGCAGAAGGTTATAACTTCATTTCATCCGCGATTTTGGACCTATTTTCACCCATGGCTGCTCGTTTTTGGAGATTTTTGGAGGAGATGAGAGAGGGATACAAGAGGAATCGACTTGAGGTAAGAATCTTGGGCTTAAAACTTGATTTTATTGTGAAATCCACCTAGAAATTCATGGAAATTAAGCCTAAAATTGAAGAACTAGGGCTTGGAAATTGGAGATTTTTAAATTGGGATTTGATAGGCCATTTGAGCTCGGATTTGGGAGTTCTTGATATGTATGAACTCGTGGAAAGATAGGGAATCTATTGATGTGAAAATTTCTGAGTTTCGAGAAGTGGGTCCAGGGCTCGGATTTTGGTAATTTCGGGATTTGTGCCTGTTATTGTTTATTTTCGCTTGGGCTTTGTTCCCTTACCATATTGTGATGTATTCGCTTTATTTTTGGATAGATTCGACGTGCGTGGAGGCCGATTTGAGGGGCAAAGGCGTCGCGAGCTAGAGATTTCGGCGGTTCGAGGTGAGTAATGATTGTAAATGATATTCTGAGGGTTTGAAACCCCGGATCGCACATCGTAGTACTGTGTTGAGGTGACTTGCACGGCGGATAGCGAGCGTGGGGTAGAGCACCGTTGGGGATTGTGACTTGGTTCGTCCCGATTGATGATTTTACCGCGTATTTGATTGAAACTTATTTGTTATTATCATGACTTGGGCTGATTGCCTTATTTGGGCTTCGTGCCAATTGTTTGAATCCTTCGGGGAGTTTTTATCACTGTTTTCCTCACTGTTTTGACTTATACATGAACTCGGTCCTATTGATATCTATTGTTTTACAAACTCAGCCACTTTTACTTAGATTTGAAACTTATATTTCTGAATGATATTTTGGGCTGAGAATTACTGTTTTACGAATGCCGAGGGGCTTGTGACGATTTTCGGACTGAGTGAGGCCGAGGGCCATATGTGAGGATATGCTGAGTGATATGAGGCCGAGGGCCTGAGATACATTTATATGCCACGGGGTGGCTTGAGTGACGTGAGGAGGCTTTCAGGCCTTGTGAGTGATGTGAGGAGGCTTTCAGGTCTTATGAGTGATGTGAGAAGGCTTTCAGGCCTTATGTTGATTTAGCGTTTGGGCCGTAAGGGGCTCCTCTGGAGTCTGCACACCCATAGTGAGCGCGGGTACCCATTATGCTGAGTGATTGATACTGAGCCCGAGGGACTGATACGAGTGTTTTCTGAGAGTGAGCCCGAGGGGCTGATATGAGTGACTGTAAGGTAGCCCGAGGGGCTGGTACTGCTTTGAGATATTGCCCGAGGGGCGAGCTTTTATGTGCTCATCTTGCATACTTACTTGTCTTTACTTGTTATACTGTGGTATTCGTGCCCGAGGGGCGGATTTCTGTGCATATCGGCACTAATTGCTTTTGAAATTATTTCGCAACTGTTGAAAAGACTATTTTCAAAGGAGGTTTAAACTGAGCCAAGATATTTCTAAAGATTTCACAGCTTCACTGTTTTCTCAAAGGATTGTACCCTGCTTCTATATAGCATGTTGGTTGCTTTACGTGATTTCTTACTGCTCAGTTGTTATTTACCTTTATTACTCACTGAGTTGGAGTACTCACTTTACTCCCTGCACCTCGTGTGCAGTTGCAGGTATTTATTTCACCCGGTAGCGGATATTGGCAGTTTGGAGGCAGAGCTGTAGGTGTTTAGCGAGGTGACTCCCATCATTCACAGCACCGTTTCTTTCTATGTTATTCATTATTCCTGTTCAGTGTATTTTCTAGACTTGTAAATGTGATTACATCCTTATAGATGCTCGTGACTTGTGACACCCCGGTTTGGGCTGTGTTTGGGTTGTACTTCCGCTAAGTAATGTTACTAAATCATCTTTAAAATTGTTCATTCCTGTTTTATCTATTTTCGAAAAAGGCAATTTGGGTTGGTTGGTTGGCCTTGTCCTCACGAGAGGCGCCATCACGACCGGAGCGGGGTTTGGGTCGTGACAATGAGTTATGAGGAAAATGTTTCCAAAACATTTAAACCAACCAAACATGGGAAAATTGAAAATTATTTTCCGAAAAATATTTTCCTTCGTACCAAACACACCCTATATGTTGGTTGGAGTAAGTGATATCAAATTCATAACAAATATTTTCTTGAAAAATGACTTCTACCGTACCAAGCACACCAAACATTTTGATTTTCAAGTATGAAGAAAAAGGAAACGAAAACAAGTGCGACGCAATAAAATTGATCACCTAAAGCTAAACTTAATAAAAGACCTTAATTTTTTTATTCCAAAAAAGTTTCATATAGATTTTCATTTGAATTTTGTTCTTCTAAATTTTTGAGATGCAAGTTAATTTATAGGGGATCTTTTCTAGCTATCTTTTCAATTGAAAATCATTCTTGAAATATTGTTAATCCTAGCTAAGAATCTAATAATTTTAAACTTAAAAAGTTTCTTTCAGCTAAGGCAACTATCACACGAACTAACAAAATTTTATAAACATATACACAATCTGAATTAGTATACTAATTAGAAAATTATCTTCAAATTCTAATTTTCAAAGTAAGTCTAAATCATGAATATCAGAGTAACTTTATGTATTAAGGTAAAAAAGTTAAGAAAATGAAACTTTAGCCCTGTGATAGAAGGCTCTAGAGAGCCTATGACCACAACCATAATAACTCAAATGTCAAAATTCTAACAACCAAGAAACATAGAGAGGAACTGAAATAGAGAGAAATGTGGAGGTTCACTATGTATTACATAGACACAAAACAGATTGTCTTCAAACAATCTGAGATCTCATCTGACACCAAATTACCATAAAAAGATCATTTGGACAAAACTTCCAAAACTGAGTTTTGTTTTTGTTGCCCATAACCTCTTTTGATCCTTCTGATTCAACAACAAACTCTGTCACCATCATATCTTTTATGGGTTTTTACAGCTAAGGCTGTAGTTGAAAGTTGACACATTCATAAAAAGGACCACAGAGTTTGTACATAGGTTCATAGTATTCAAGAATCAAGACCAGAACACCTCCATATTCTCTGAACTCACATAAAAATTATTACTTTCTTGTCTTGGGACACAACTATTGCTTCAACTCTGCCCATACAAATTTGGTTTTTTCTTTCCTTTCTTTGGAGCTTTGCTACATATTCATTGGTCTCTAGGCCTTTAGTACTTGCGAGTATGGAACGCTAAGAATTGAGTTGGAGTCAGCTAAATGAATCCTCGCGACAAATATAGAAACTGAAGATTGCTAGACCATTTGGATACACCCATATTCATGTATAGTAATTGCATGAGAAAAGATGGTAACATTGTGCTGGAGACCTTCTGTAAAGGGAGATGGTAGCGGGCGAGGAGGAGATACAAATGGGAGGTTTAATGGATTAATGTGGTATAAGGATTTGGGAGCTCATGTCAATGGGGAATTTTCCATGGCAGTAATACAAGCCAATAATTTGATGGAGGATCGGAGTCAGCTCGAATCAGGGCCATTGAGTTCTTTGAAATCAGGACCGCATGGAACATTTATAGGAGTTTATGATGGACATGGAGGACCTGAGACATCGCGGTTTATAAACAAAACTCTGTTCTCCAATCTCAAGAGTATGTAATGTTATTATTATTTGAATGCATGTGTTTTATTTTGTGAATTGGTTGATTTGATTCACAAAAAGATGCTAATTAGTTTATGTCTCCAATATATAACTTCTTTAGCTCGAAAACAGAAAGTACTGTACATACTTTTTTATAGAAAAGATCAGGGCTCGGAATTATTAGAATTTGGAAAAATTCTTAATATCTTCCTTTGACCTTCCCACGAGCTTCTTCTAGTTTGTGCGGAGTATAAAGAAATCCGTTTTGATATTTGGATAATTTTTTTGTATCTATGATCTGGCGAATTATCAATGTTTCTTTTCTAGGTTTTCCAAGATTTTCATCTTCCCTACAACTCCAGGGGACTCTAATAGACTAGAAATATTTTCGTGCCTCTTGTGTTAAATGGATGAAACCAAGAAATAATTCAACTAACAATTCGAACCAAGAAATGGAAGAATGATTGCCCTAGTGTCTAGACCTTTGCTAATCCTAGCATATTATCCTCCAGAGGTATTATTTGTGTTTCAGACTTAAAATTCAATTTCTTGTGAAAGTCTAATCTCATCTATATAATGTACAATAAACACTATTAGTTCTTTAATTTAATTGCATTTCATTTTCATTATCAGAATTTGCATCAGAGCATCAAGAAATTTCTGCTGATGCCATAAGGAAAGCTTTCTTGACAACTGAAGAAGAGTTTCTATCACTTATAAAGCGACAATGGAATGAGAAGCCACAGATTGCATCAGTAGGATCATGCTGTTTAGCGGGCATAATATGCAATGGACTATTATATATCGCGAATGTTGGAGATTCACGTGCAGTACTAGGTAGAGTAGATAAAGCTACAAAGAGTATAACGGCTATTCAATTGTCAACAGAACACAATGCTAGTATTGAGTCTGTGAGAGACGAGCTTCGCTCATTGCATCCTCAAGATTCGCGAATTGTGGTTCTCAAACACAACGTTTGGCGTGTGAAAGGTCTCATACAGGTATTTGTTGTATGTTATGCTTTCTTATGTTATGTAGCCTGTTAAGAAAATATGTAGTTTGAGCTTCAACGCGTTTAATTGATGGTGATATTCCTAATATATATCTTCGTAACAGGTTTCAAGGTCAATTGGTGATGCCTATCTTAAGAAGTCGGAGTTCAACCAAGCACCATTATTGGCAAGATTTAGGTTGCCTGAACCTTTCTCGAAACCAATCCTCAGCGCGGAGCCATCAATATCCGTTCACAGACTCAGTTCAAAGGATCAATTCGTCATATTTGCTTCAGATGGTCTATGGGACCATCTTAGCAACCAGGAAGCTGTTGATATTGTCCACAATCATCCTAGAAATGTAAGTTTTTCAATCTCTAGTTACAGTCAAACCTCTGTATAACAGTCTCATTCGTTCCGATATTTTTTGGCTGCTATAGTGAAGTGCTGTTATGGAAGACATATGTTATAACATAATATAAAAATCGATTTCGAGAAAAGCTTGACTTTTATAGTGAACGGTTGTTATATAGGGATGTTGTTATAGAGATGTCTGACTGTATGACCTTTATGTTCATTTGCACTTCTGATTTATCTGGTGATTAGTCAAGAAGTCACAATTCAAACCACAGCGCACGAGTTCAATCTCAATATTCTCATATTCTGAATGCACAACTTTTCAATCAGATTTTACCACATAATGAGCATGTATCCTCTTTACTCTTAGCAGGGAATTGCTAGAAGACTTATCGAAGCTGCTCTACATGTAGCGGCCAAGAAAAGAGAAATGCGTTATTCAGACCTAAAGAAGATTGACCGAGGCGTAAGAAGGCATTTCCATGATGATATTACAGTTGTAATTGTGTTTGTTGATCCATATTCCATGAATAGAAGTTCTTCTCGTGGTTCAATTCTTTCCATTAGAGGAGGTACTCCCTCCTCCCCAGAGTCCTAAAAGGGCAGGACAGCCCAGTGCACAAGGCATCACGCACTCACGCAGGGGTCGCACCTCTAGGGATGTGATGTAGATAGTCTACTCTAATGCAAGCATTAGTAGCTGCTTTCACTGTTCGAACCTATGACCTAGAGACAACTTTAGCCTCCCAAAGTCCTAGTTCCAACATTTTTCAAAGGTCAAATCCACTTGGAGAATTGCAAATGTCTATTTGTCTTCTTTCATTTCTCTGTAGTTTTAGCCTTTTAGGGTTGTAATGCGTTCTCCCCTTAATTGTTTTCATCAATTGATGGTTTATGGTTACTTCCTTAGTAGTGAAAAACGTAGAGACAAACATTTTGCTGCACTGTGCAAAATAGAAGAAGAGTATGATATTTTGGAGTCCAATATTAGGTGTTGTGCAATCGTTTACAGCAGTGAAAGCTTTGAGTGAGTTACTTTATTTCTCTTTCTCATTATGCTTTCACTTATTATTTGAACCAATCTACCTTAGTTTGTTTCATCATATTATAAGTTCTTTCTTCTCATCTACGGTAGTCTTATCTATACGTTTGCTGCTCTTGTGTTGAATAGAAATTTCTGGTACTTCTCTTCCTTCTTATGCAATTATTACCATGACTTAGGTCATAACTTTTTTGTTACTTTGTGCAATCATTTCTGGTCTCCGGTGGCAGAGCTAGTATTTTCTCTAAGGAGATCAAAATATAGAAATATAAATTCATAAATAAATCAAGGGAAGTTAATATATAGTATATACAGTATATTTATAAAAATTATTTTTACATAGTTACGCAGTGTAATTTTCCGACGATTTGAATACATGTGACTCTGCCACTACTTATCATAATTTTTGCTTTTCGGTTGGTTAATATTTTATCTTTTTATTTTTATTTTATAGTTTTAGGTGTTATAAGATATTGTAAATAAAGAAATTTGGGAAACAACAAGTAGAAAAATGTCAAATTGACAGTTGGAAGTGAAAAAGAGGATCAATATGACCGTTGATTAATGGTTACAAAATCCAATCGTTATTTCTTCTTATTATTTCTTTGAAAAAGATGCTCTTCTTATTCTTTTGGGTTAGACTTGGGCCCCCGGAAAAATAGCATGGGCTGTGCAATTTTCGGACTAGTATGAAAAATAGCCAACTTTTACTAAGTCATTAAAAAATAATTATTATTTTATGTGAATATAAAATTTGGACAAAAATACCCTAGCTGAAGCACGAAAAGTTCCAGCATAATAAGTTGGACAATGAAGCTCATGCGTATGAGCTTCCAACATATTATATTGGAACTTCAACATATTATGAAATTCCGGCACATTAAGCTGGAATCTCATACGTAAACAATTCGAACTCCAGCATATTATGCTGGAATTTTCCGAAATTTTAAAGGTGTTTTGGTTTATATTTTATTTTACATGAAAAAGTGACTAAAAAATTTTCAATTAGCAGTTGTAAATCAGGCTATTTCTGATTTTCCACCAATTTCCTGGATCAAGAATCCTGAGACTGGCAAGGCTCGATTTCTACATGTGGGCCTGTTTGGGACTCATATTCCGTAGAAAATGACGTGCAGTAGCCACTAATTAAGGGTGTCTTTAATTTTTATCCACTAATTATAATGCTCAGCAAAAATAGCGACTACTAATAGGGAAAAGACTATTTTACCCTTTCCTTCATTAAAGGTAACAGTTTAGGCTTCTAGGAAATTATTTATGTATTTATCTCTCAATTCTGGGCAAACTCATACTTATAACGCTCACAATTAGCAGCATACTGGAAACTGAACAAGGATGAACATGATATATTGGGAGCTGAACATTCATATAAGATCAGTAAGCCATCTAACTAAGAAGTCAAACAACCATTATATGCAAAATGCTATGTCTCATGAAGAATAAAGATTTTATAATGCATCGAGTTGAAAATGAGGCAAAAAGGAGAAGAGATACGTATTTATCTCTCAATTACATCAATATTGGAGAAAGGTAACAGTTAGGCTTCAGGAAATTATTATGTATTTATCTCTCAATTCTGGGCAAACTCATACTTATAACGCTCACAATTAGCAGCATACTGGAAACTGAACAAGAATTAAGGACAGACAGTCCTTAAGTTTTAAACTTGAAACTATAAGTTAAGGACTTCCCATCCTTAACTTTTAATCTTTGAAATCAAAGTTAAGGACAGGAGTCCTTAAGTTTTCAACTTTGAACTATAAGTTAAGGACTTCCTGTCCATAACTTTTTAACCAGCAAGTCAAACTTAAGGACTGTTGTCCTTAACTTTTGAACTTAAAACTCAAAGTTAAGGACAGACAGTCCTTAAGTTTTAAACTTGAAATTATAAGTTAAGGACTTCCTGTCCATAACTTTTTAACCAGCAAGTCAAACTTAAGGACTGTTGTCCTTAACTTTTGAATTAAGGACAGACAGTCCTTAAGTTTTAAACTTGAAACTATAAGTTAAGGACTTCCTGTCCTTAACTTTTAATCTTTGAAATCAAAGTTAAGGACAGGAGTCCTTAAGTTTTCAACTTTGAACTATAAGTTAAGGACTTCCTGTCCATAACTTTTTAAAAGTTAAGGACTTCCTAGTCCTTAACTTTTAATCTTTGAAATCAAAGTTAAGGACAGGAGTCCTTAAGTTTTCAACTTTGAACTATAAGTTAAGGACTTCCTGTCCATAACTTTTTAACCAGCAAGTCAAACTTAAGGACTGTTGTCCTTAACTTTTGAACTTAAAACTCAAAGTTAAGGACAGACAGTCCTTAACTTACAATTACACGTTCAAAAGTTAAGGACAAGCACTACTTAACTTACAGTTACAAGTTCAAAAGTTAAGGACAATAGGTCCTTAACTTTGACTTACAAGTTCAAAAGTTAAGGACATGTAGTCCTAAAGTCCTAAACTTAGAGTTACAGGTTAAAAAGTTAAGGACATATAGTCTTGAAGTCCTGAACTTAGAGTTTCAAGTTCAAAAGTTAAGGACATGTAGTTCTGAAGTCCTGAAGTTAAGGACATGAGCAGAAGGGTATTTTTGTCCGGGCAGTTAAAGTTCATTAAACCAGTGGCTAAAAACTAAAGATATTTAAAACACTGCTTTAAAATAAAGACAGGAGCTGTTATGTCTATTTGTGCACATCGCCCTCATATTCCGTGGGTCGGGTTGGTGAGTTTTGTGGGCCAAGCTAGCCCAGTTGCAGTTCTAGATGATCTTGGAATTATGAACACTTTGTGTCCATGTCAACTGATAGCTAAAATTGCCAAAATTTCACGGTATAGCCAGTTTTCGGACTGGTCAATCAAAAATAGCCAGCGTTTACCAAGTCAATGAAAAATAGCCACCGTTTTGCTGCAATAGAGACCGGTCCAGCATAATATACTGGAGTTCGGTGCACTTGTGTATGAACTCCAGCATATTATGCTGGACCGGTATACTTTGCTGGCTCCAGTATAATATACTGGAGACTGGAGCACTGGTGCTCCAAACTCCAGTATATTATACTGGACCATTATACTTGCTGGAACTCCAGTATATTATGCTGGAGTTCTAGTGTATTTATGCTGGAACTCCATCATATTATGCTGGAGTTCCAGTATACTATCCTGGAACTCCAGTATAATATGCTGGAGTTCAAGTATACTTATACTGGAACTCCAGCATAATATACTGGAGTATTTTCCGGGTTTTGAACAGTGTTTTCGCTCAGATATATCTTTATATAAAAAGTGGCTAAATTTCGATTACTTTTGAAATTGGGCTATTTTTGAATGACCAGTTGTAAATCTGGCTATTTTTAAAATTCACCCGCTAAAATTGAGTGAGAATTGATGCTTTCATTCTTAACCATTAATTAACAATATAACCGAATCTCGGCAGTATAGGTATATGTATTGAAGAATAATAAGAAATATATTAATATTATTCCAAATAAACTTATATATATATATATATATATATATATATATATATATATATATATATATATATATATATAGAGAGAGAGAGAGAGAGAGAGAGAGANCCTACTAAGTAAGTAAAATAATATATTTCAAACCTAGTAAATATATGAGTCGTGGTAGATACAGCTGTCAAAATGGGCTAGCTCAGCCCAACCCAACCCAAGCCTCGTGGGCTTTTAAATATGATGGGTTAGGACGGGCCGGCCCTCCATCTATATGGGCCTTAAAATGGCCAGCCCAGCCCAGCCCTAAGAGGTCGCGGGCTAGGGCGGGCCGGCCCTTCAATATTTTTAGAAAAAAATATTTTTTCAAATCTTTAGATATTTTTTCGTGACATAATCTCTTAATCACATGAATGACTTCTGTTTATTTAGAGTATACAAGAATCTTGATATTTGACAAGAAATCTCGTAATTGAAATGCAAATTTTCTATATCTCTAGCTCTTCTTTTTTTTTTTTTAATGTTCCATGAATATTTTTTTAGTACTTTTCTTTCACTTTCCTTAGGTTCAGGAATTGCATCAATAAATTTATATGTTAAGGTTTTTTAATTTAGGTTTAACATTTATTTGTTGATTTCGTCATTATAGTCCATAAATTTCTAAAATTCATGAAATTTGCTAGTGTTGTCGCTTTTCTTTGGGTATTAAAAATTGACATTTTTTTATACTGAAGATCAATTTAATAATTAATAATACATTAAAGTAACCAAACTGATTATTGGCCACTTAAAGTAATATTTTCTTTTGAAAAAAATTATTATTGGCCACTTAAAACTTTCTTAGTTCGTTGTTAGTTAAGCAAAAGAAAAACTAACCTTGTCATACTACATACATGTCAATAATATAAATTCTAGTTGATATGGAAGGGTAAATGAGCAATCAAAGATTGGAAAATGGGGATTATAAATAATATTTTTTAGTTTTTACTTTATTAAATATTTAAATTTGAATTTAATTAATTTTTGGCCCACGGGCCGGCCCGGGCCCAACCTCGATCAAGCCTCAAGGGCCAGCGGGCTGACTTGGGCCGGGCTTATAAGTCTTAATTTTAAATGGGCTAAAAAAATCTCAACTCAGCCCTTCCCAAGTAGCGGGCTGTGTTGGGCTGGCATCACGGGCCAAGCCCATTTTGACGGCTCTAGTGGTAGAGCTTCAAACTCGAACCTATAAAACTAAAATCCTGACGTAGCCTCTATTTAGTAGAAGAAGTTATATTATACGTAAATTTCTCTAATATATGTCAATTTCCAGAAAGATTAAAAGGCTCTTTGTAAATACTAGACCTAATGTAAGTGTAACAAAATAACTATTCCCTCGGTTTCAATTTATGTGGCATACTTTTCTTTTTAGTTTGTCCCAAAAAGAATGTCATATTTTATTATTTAGAAATAATTTAAATATAAACCTTTTATTTTACAATTAATAAGATAATTTATAACCAGACAAATATATATGATTTATTTTAGGCCACAAATTATTAAAGTCTTACTTTTTTTCTTAAATTCTGTATCGAATCAATACCGCTACATAAGTTGGAATGGGGAAGTAAGACTTAGGGTGTGTTTGGTATAACGGAAAATATTTTTCTTGGAAAATATTTTCCAAGAAAATATTTTTTTGGAAAACAAGTAGTAATTTTATTCATTTTCCGGTGTTTGGTACACAAATTAAGGAAAATGACTTCTCAAGAGTATTCATAAATAATTTAGATATAATAAATATGAAGCCATAAACTTTCAAACCAACAACCTTCCGAGCCCACAAATTTTATAAACTTTCGAACCGCTAAACTTTCAAAAGAGCGAAATTTCGAACCCGTAAACTTTATAATTTATAAACCCGTAAACTTCCAATCACATAAACCTCCGAACTCATAGTTTTGGAACTTGTAAAATTTTAAACCTTTAAACCGATAAATAAAAATATTAAAACTGAAAAATATATCTAAAAAATATTTTTCTTCGGGGGGGAGGGGCAGGGGGGAGGGGGGGCAGTAAAACAAAAAAAACAAAAATTTAAATTACAAAAAAAAGTAATTTTTTTTTTGTTGGAGGGGGGAAGGGGGAGGGGTTGAGGGGGGTTAGGGGTGGGTGGTGCAGAAAACGAAAAAACAAAAATTTAAAATTCTAAAAAAAACAAATTAGATAAAAAAAATTTTTTTTGCGGTGGGGTGGGGTGGGGTGGTGGGGTAGTAGGGTGGGTGGTAATGGAAAACTGAAATTTAAAAAAAAAAAAAAAAAAAAAAAACCTTTTTTGGAGAGGGGGTGGGGTGGATTGGTGAGGGTGGGGAAGGTTGAGAAGAAGTTTTGGAAAATGTTTTCCCTTCTCTTGATAAGGAAAACATTTTCCTCCAATTGGAGGAAAATGAGTTCATAAGGAAAATGTTTTCCAAAACATTTAAGCCAACCAAACATGGGAAAATTGGAAAATATTTTTTAAAAAATGTTTTCCTTGTTACCAAACACACCCTTAATCTCAACTAATTAGTATTACCTATATATCTTTTGCTTTTATCATATTGTACTAATTTCGCTAATTTGTATGAATACTTACATATTGTAGATATTTTGAGACACTTCCTTATATTTGATTATCGGTCTATCTTCTTCCCTTAAAATTAAACCTTCATGGCGTCAAACAATTACATATAAAAAGTCTATTCATGACACGACAAACCCATCTCAAATGACATTTTTTCACTTTATTTTTTATGTATACTACTTGTACATTCTTTTCTACATAAATATTTACGATCTTGTCTAATCTCGTACGATAGAATATCCATCTTAACATTTATACATCTATGACACTTATCAATAAAACTAATGCATGGCAGAAATATTTGTGACCCCCTTGAATTTGGCAAATTTTATTTATTTTTTCTTTAAATTTTATGTGGTCTTTAATTTCCCTGTGAACTTGAAAATTATTTCCTGAACCCTCCTAGACGCTAATGTGGCAAAGATGTGAATATACTTTCTTTTAGGCGTGTGGGAGGGAAAAAAAATCAGCTTCTAAGTGTGGTATTTTCAAATATTAATTGCCACATAATCAACAACAACAACAACAATATACACAATGTAGTTCCACAAGTGGGGTCTGGGAAGGGTAGAGTGTACGCAGACCTTACCCTTGCTTTCAAAAAGGCAGAGAGGCTGTTTCGGAAAGACCCTCGGCTGCCACATAATCAATATAATAATTTATTCAGTCCAATTGTATTTGACGTTGTTTCTTCTTAATATACATCGCATATTTTATCTCTATTGTATTTTTTTTATATACAATGTATATTTATTTCGACTATGTATTTTTTTCGATCCAAATCTACAAAGGTTAGTTGAATTCTATTTCTTTTAGCCAAATAAAAAGAAGGTTTAGCCAAAGTAACGAAGTTCAAATGATGTATTTTCTACAAAAAGAAAAAAGTATTATGTATTTTTCTTTTCATGCAATGACTATTTATTTAAACAATGCATTTGTCACGTTCCAAATTACCTCCTAGACGTGACTGGCACCCAGCTAATACCACCCGTCAGGAGAACCATACTTTCTTACCTTAGCCATTAATTTGCAATATTTGATTAATTAAATGAGTATCCAAATAATCTGATAATCAATTACGAACAATTAATATCTCGAAATAGTATACTGAAACTCTAGCCCAAATCTCATACTAGACCGTGGAGCATCTAAGAGGATTGCAAAAAGACATCATATGAATAAATAATAAAGACTCTTTTGGCAGCCTCCACGAACAATGCGGCAGCTCACCTCAATAACTGAATCAACTCTAGCGAACTCGTCAGCTACTAGCTTCGTCTTTACCAATAGTATCTGCATAGACATGCAGGTAAAGAGTGAGTTATACGTAAATATAACCTAGTAAAATTCTCGACCCGCCACTCTAAATACCTCTGGAACAAGTGTTAGAAAATACAAACACACAACGAGCACATAAATAATATGTACAGAAATTCTTTCGCCATATATGATTACCTTATAAGGTCCAAACAATTATTCAACAACAATACTATATACCTCAACACAATCTACACTAAGGACTTGTCATAAATGGTAGTGTAGAAAATTAACCAAACACCCCAACGAGTCCACGATAACATACACAATGTTAGACATAGCTTGTATATGTGGGGGTTTCCCACATCGGTAAGTTGAAGTGATTTTGGAGGCCTTAAAAGGCTAAGCCCACTAAGTCATATAGAATGAGTATTTGACATACTTCTAAAAGTATGTGTAACATATATTACTATATATATATATATATATAATAATATATATATATATATATAATAATATATATATATATGTATATATATATATATTTAATTATATATCTAAATGACTTGGACTTGGAGTTGGGGCTTGGGCGCGGGCCGGGTCGGACCTTTAAATAAAGGTTTTATTTTTGTATTTATTTTTTGGAACAGTTTCTGATTATTTAAATTTGAATTTAAATAGAATAGGCATGACTGTTCGTATAGGAGTGTGACTTTTTAGAAAAGTCTTCTCTTGAATTCTATAAATACAAGGAGACTCCAAGAGCAGCGACATTCAATTTGCATGTGTAATTCTGGCTTTGTTGTATTCTGACGGAGAATTGCTTGTAATCCCCTAAAGAATATACGGGCAATATCTCTTGAACGATAGTGATCTTTCACGCCTCAAAGCTATGCTTCTCTTTTATTCTTCTGTAATTTTTCTAACAATTTTCAAGAGATATTCTGCTATGGAGAAGTTTATGTCTGTTGTGGAGAACCCAAAAGAGTTCATCAAACTAGATCGATTTGATGGATCGAACTTCACTCGCTGGAAGGACAAGATGATTTTCTTGCTTACCGCTCTAAAGATATTTTACGTCCTTGATCCAATGTTGCCTGCAATGTCGGAGCCCACTGAAGAAGATTCAGAAGACACCAAAGCAGAGAGGAAGAAACGCCAAGATGATGAATTGCTCTGCCGAGGACACATTCTGAACACTTTGACAGATCGACTCTATGATTTGTACTCCAATCTGAAATCACCAAGAGATATCTGGACAGCATTGCAGACCGCATATGAAAATGAAAAGCGAGGTATTGATAAATTTCTGTCTTTACAATACTTTGAATTTAAAATGGTTGAGACAAAGCCGATTAAGGATCAGATTCATGAACTACAAATCTTAGTTTCAAAACTAAGTGATCTTGAAGTTAAAGTTCCGGATGCACTTCAGATAGGTGTCATACTCTCGAAATTGCCTTCTTCCTGGAATGACTATAGAAAGAAAATCTTGCATTTTTCTGATAAATTAACAGTGGATCAATTTCGAACTCACCTTCAAATTGAAAGTGAAACTCGTGCTCGTGACGCTATAGTCCATCCTTCGAGTTCTACTGTTAATTTTGTTAGTCAAAATGATACAGCAAATGGAAATAAAAATCTGAAAGTTTCTAACAAGCCTCGTTTTAAGAAATGAAATGATTTAAAGTGTCATCATTATGGGAAGAAAGGACACAAGATTTGTGACTGCAGGTTTAAGAAAGCAGGAATTAACTTCAACCATGGGAATTCTGGAAATTCAAGGAAGTCTGAGAAAGCAAACATGGTGGAGAGTTCTTCTCAAGGCTTGGTTGCAATGGTTTCTGTAGTACCATGTAGTATGGTTACAGAATTAAACATGGTTGCTGCTTCTAGTCAGAGTCAAGACTGGTTGTTAGATTCTGGTGCCATAATTCATGTTTGTTACGAAAAGAACATGTTCAAGACCTATGCAGAAGTAAAGGAACCCGAGAAGGTTCTGATGGGCAACCATGTGACCGCTAATGTTTCAGGAAAGGGAAATGTTGAGATAAATTTCACTTCCGGACAGAAGTTAACATTGCTGAATGTATATCATGTTCCCGACATGAAGAAGAACTTGATGTCCGCTGGTTTGCTGTCTAAGAGAGGCTTCAAGATAGTCATAGAATCTGATCATGTAATAGTAACTAAGAATGGTGTCTTTGTTGGAAAAGGATACAATTGTAATGGCATGTTTAAATTGAATATCAATGAAATAAATTATGTTTCTGCTTATATTGGTGAATCTGATTCTATTTTATGGCATGCTAGATTAGGTCATTTAAATTTTGGTTCCTTAAAATATATGTCTAGAAATGGTTATATATCATGTAAAACTGAACATGTAGGGAAATGCGAAATTTGCATACAAACAATAATGACAAAGAAACCATTTCGTAAAGTTGAAAGATTTTCAGAATTATTAGATTTAGTACACTCTGACATATGTGAATTAAATGGTGAATTAACTAGAGGAGGCAAAAGATATTTTATTACTTTTATAGATGACTTCTCTAGATTTACATATGTTTATTTACTTCAAAAC